TTGGTTTTGCAAAGAAGAGGTGACTTATAATGAGTATTTAGAATGCTCACACATCTATTGGGAACCTTACGGAGGACTTAGTCGCATCAATATTATTGAAATACGGATGGGATCGGTCAATGATTGTTCTTGGTATCCTTATTGCTTTTAGTAACATGATAGTGTTCCTATTGTTACCCGTTCATCCAAAATTATTTTAGGTAATAAAGATGAAGTGTTATCTCCAGGAAAAGAAGATGAGGAATTGAATAAACCTCTCTCAAGATCAAACAGAGAAGAGGAATCCGCTGTGGGTTTTAGAGAAGCATGGAGGATTCCAGGAGTTGCGCCATTTGCTTTTTGCCTTTTTTGGTGGCTTACACATTTCTCTATTGTGGCTGCCGTACTACATTAGCCACACAAGCATGCTAACTGTTCTACGTTTGTGATGTTAGATATGTTGTCTTGTTGTTTTCTTACTCTATTATGTAAGTGTATCTTCATCCTTTTGTGACGATACTTGTCCAACGAGGAATCTGGTAACTTATCAACATTGTTTGATGTCAAAAGGTTAGTAGGTGGAATCCTCACAGGTTATATATCTGATCAGTTTGATGACAGAGTTATAACAGCTGCTAGCTTCATGTATTGTGTTATCACAACTCCATGCCTATTTCGAAGCTACGGACACATCTCCGTGACTATAAACATCATCATCATAATAGCCTAACATGTGTATTAGAGGAAATTTCAAACTTCTGAAAGACTTGTACGAATGCATAATCTGAAATGGATGAAGACCACCTTGTCAGTACACGTTTCACTTCCATCTAGAAATTCCATCATCCAATTTCCCTTCTAGCTTCTCTATTTGTTAACATGAATAGTTTTTTCTGTGATTTACCTTGTAATGTGGATGTATAATTCAATTAATTCTCATTAAGCTTTATTGAGGTTTAACAGCTGAATTCTTGCGTTATTTATTTGTAACTCCTGTCATTCCTTGCTTGAACATCTCATTCGAAGAGCTTTGAGATTTCCTATTTTTGCTAATGCAGTAGTGACACGAGAAGTTTGTTCCTATACAATATAACTGGTTTTACATTCTATTTTTTAATCCCTAAAAGATTGCACTGGTGTTTTACCCTTTTTGCTTAGGAGTATTACTTCAATTGTCTTGAAGAATTTTACGGGAGATTCTTAAAATGATTTGAAAATATTTATTGGAAATCATATTGGCAAATATTTACTTAACATGAAGAGCATGATACTATCCCTCTTAATTTGACCCATTGTTGGCACTAAATCAGATTATGATTACAAACGTTGTGCTTGTGTAATGTGGTCGCATTGGTCATTTCGCTGAATAGTAATTAATTTGGAGTCAATATTAAACTCTTAAAAGATTCATAGTTCCCTTGATATTATGTCTGCCTTTTGCATATCAGTTGTATCAGCTGTCGAGTAAAAGTTGTCGAAAATATTATTGTCTTCATGTATGATGACATGCATTGCTTGCAATGAAGAGAATCCAAGACCAAAGTTGTCATTAATAATCCTGCTGGTGAGGATGTTTACAAAGGAGTCCCTAAGGTAGATGTTTTTTGTCATTGTTTAGTTTGTTCCTAGCTCAATTTTTATCGTGAATGCACCATTTTAGCTGAAGATGGAATGTTGTATCTGTAATATTAATGGGAGCAGCTTTGGTTGTTGGTTTGTTTTTGACCCTCTAGATATATTGTTTATGTGTGTATGTAATATTGTGGTTCAGGTTGTGTAGAATTGGAGACATTGGAGAAGGAACACCAAATAGCGTTATGCCTATATGATCTATGAAGACATTCTCCGGCATAAACTTATTAAACCATCTTTTTGCATAAATATAGCTGGAAATCCTTATAGTTGTGTATATGTTCATGCTGCAACTACTTTAAAACGTAAAATGTTGGGCCCGTGCTTAGCACGGGCAACACTCATCTAGTATATATATAAAAGTGGCAGACATGAGACGGTCAACATGCTTGCCGACCAAGGGCATCTTTGGAATAACACTATAATTTTGCTATGACATGTTGTACATTGTAGGATCGATTGTTGGACGTTTTGAGATTTTGACACAAAGCCCAATTGTTTTTTTGCTTAATTCAAATAGCATCCCATGCATTGCTTTTTTATGTTTTGATTTTACCCCGGATTTGATCTTTTATTACATGATTGTCTGCAGATAATTTCGTAAATATTGCAAAACTAAAGGATGATTCTATTTAAAAAGGCACCAATTGATGTCAGAGAGTACACCTGCCAAGTCCTTTAGCTTTTCCACAACTGTGATCCCATGTGCTTATCCTTTATTCATAGACATATTTTCTCTCTCTTTATAAAAATTCTATATTCACAATTTAGCTTTTGTTAATTAAAAAATAAATCACAATAAGCTCTTGTTAATAAAAACAATCACAATTATTATTAAAAAATCGTCCACTTTAATGTATATAATATTTTTGCAGTAATGAGATAATGAAGACAATTGTAAATTAATACAATTTTAGTAGTTAATATTTAATAATTAACAACATTTGATTGACTCTTAAAATTTTATTTGTGCTATATACATTTGGATAAGAGAAGTAACATATATTATAAAAATTTACTTAAAAAGTACTATAAATTACAATAATCAAAAGAAGTAACATGTAATATTTAATTTGGAAACTACGTACAAAGTATTGTAAATCTCAATAATTAACAACATTTGATTGACTCTTGAAATTCTATTTGTGCTACATACATTGGGATAACATAAGTAACATATATTATTAAAAATTTATGTTAAAAGTACTATAAATTACAATAATAAAAAAAAGTAACATGTACTCCTAATATTTAATTCGGAAACTAAGTAGAAAGTATTGTAAATCTCAATAATTAACAACATTTGATTGACTCTTAAATTCTATCTGTGCTACATATATTGGGACAAGAGAAGTAATATATATTATTTAAAAATTACATGAAAATACTATAAATTACAATAATTAATAATTTAAAATATTTAAAAGTAATATTAAAATTTAATTGACTATCTAAATTCTATATATCACATAAAGTGATACAAAAACATAACAGATTGCACGGGTCTAGTATTCTTTATAAAGCACAACAATTTTAACATTCATGAAATTAAGAAGTAGCAAAATCAATGATAAAAATAATTTAGATTTAAGTAAAAATCAATAAATTAGCGTTATGTTTTTTTGAATGTGTGATATGTGTTTAATAAAAATCTTGATTTGTACATTATAAAATCATTATTTCAATCTATATAATTTACCGTGTGTTTTTGTAACTACAAGCAATCCATACTGAAAATAAAAATATATGTAAATTGTATTTGGTTGAAAACAAATTATTACGATCATGATCGATGGTAAAATCACTATCTTATGCAAGATAGATGTGAGCTTACCAGCTATTTTTTTTTGTTAGTTACTTCTTTAAATGTTGCACACCCTTCATAAAATGTCTGACTCCGTCACTGATAAAAATACTCAATAAGTAATTCAAATATAATAAATTTTAGTATTATTTATCATCACCTAAATAATTTGTGCATTATAACCTTCCACGTAAGTAGTATATGGACCAAACGATCTCTTAATGATGTGCTCTTTAGTGGTAGTTAAGAGTTGATATAACATATTTAAGTAACGAAATCTCATACTTTCTCCGTTTTAAAAAAATGGTCTAGTTTAATTTTACACGAAGTTTAAAACAATAAAGAAAATTTTCAATTTTGTTATCCTAAATTTAAGTAATAACAAATTTAGCAAATACTTTTTAATTTTATGGTCTTAAATATGTCACGACGAAAACTGAAATTAAAGTATTGTAAAAAAATATGTAATTCTTTTTTAAACAAAAATAAAATAAAATTCATTCTTCTTAAAACGAAGGAAATAATAATTTTAATTTGTAACAAAAGTCCATTTTTCTTGATGCCAAATTATATTTCTCCATAAAAAAACTTTGTTATACGTGAGATGGAGAAAAAACTCGGACCACAAGAGTCCATTATAATTTAATGCTCAGTTATATCGCATTATATAAAATAATAAATAAATATTTTTTCATAAAAGAATCTTTTACTGCACTAACTATTGTTGGTATTACCAAAGTGAAACATTTACAAGATACAAAAATATTTAAGAACACTATTATTATGATTAAAGTTATCAAATAGGTATTTTTTTTTCAAAGAGCATAAAGATTTCTAAAAACATCTAATATTATTTAAAGAATGAAGGCGTTTTGTTATGAAAATTTATCATCTTTTTGTCGTTGAATTTCGGAAATTACTCTTAAAATTTTATTAATGCCACATAAATAGGGACATAGAAAATAACTTATATTACTGAAAATGAAATAAAAAAAACTATAAATCACAATAATTAATAACTTAAAAATTTAGAAAAATCAATTTTTGTAAGCAATTCTCAAAATTCTATTGTGTCACATAAATTACGATAACTGAAGTAAAATATATTATTTAAAAATTATGTAAAATGTATTATAAATCATGATAATTAAGAAATTAAAATATTTAAAAAATATAGAAAAAATTTAATCAACTCTCAAAATTTTATAATTAGAACAGGGAAAACACATATTCTTTGAAAATAACGCAATACTATAAAAAAAAAAACCAGTAATTAACAATTTAAAATTTAAGAGCAAGGGAAAACACATATTCTTTGAAAATAACATAATACTATAAAAAAGAAATTAACAATTTAAAATATAAAGACATATAAAAAATTTAGTTAACTCAAGAAATTTTATTTGTGCTACATAAATTGGGATATAAAAATAATATAAGTATATGATTTTTTTTTTAAAAACATAAAAAGTATTCTAAGATGCAATAGTTAGCATAAATAATAATCTAAAATCAACTTTAATTTATTTATTTTTATATCACATAAATTTAAAGGGATGGTAAAGTGACTTTGGGAAAGTGGATATTGAAAATCGAAATGGGTAAGAATGGAGACAAGTGTTTAGCCACAGAGAATACAATGCCACTACTCAGCTCAAAGAGCTTTTCTTTTTCCTTTTTATTTTCCCACAAAAACAAAATAGGCTCTCATTAAGCTGACAAAATTGACACTCAAATCAGCCATATCGATAGGAGAGAAGTACGGCCACAATGGAGCTTCGTTTTGCTGATAGAATTTTTAATGGGTACGCAATTTTATTTGTTTGGCTAATTTTTCAATTGTGTTGCTACTATAATCCTTAAAGGGTACACAGTTTTATGGGTTAGGTTGCTGTTGTTTGTTTTCTTTGAATTGTACATGTCATGGAGTACATATTTGATTGCTTTCATGTGTGCAGTTTTATCCCTCTTTTATTTTATATTTTAATTTAATAGGGCACAAAATTTTAGAAGGTGAGTGAATTTGTTATTAAATGAAATGACTTTTTAAACAAACTAAAATATAAGGCATATCAATTGAGGTGTACGCCTAGCATACAATAGGGGCGATTAGGGACATGTGTGGACATGTATGATAGAGTTTTAAGATCCGAGTAATTATAGTGGGAAGAGACCCAAAACACTTTGAAGTCGTGATGGGGTTGCACCGAAGATCGACTTTTAGGTCATTTTTATTAGTCTTGGTGATGGATGAATTAACACAACATATTCTAAGGAAAGTGCGATGGTGTATGACATTTGGGAAAGGCCGATGAGATATGCGACAAAGTTAACGATAGGTTGGAGGTTTGAAAAAAGACCCTAGAGTCTAAAGGGTTCAAGTTGAACATAAGTTGTTTGGATTGACTTATTTTAAGTGTTTTTATGCTAAAATAAACTTTTATGCACTTTTAAAGTGTTTGGGTAAATTTACAAAGTGCTTATAAGTACTTGGTTTTAAGCTAATATGGTAAAAATAATCAAAAAGTCATAACTTTAAATTTTTAACTTATGATTTTTGACTTATAAGTCAAAAGTCAAAAGCTAATCCAAACAGACCCAAGACAAAGAACACGAGTAGCAAGTTCAAAACATAATGCATGAAGCAGATATTGAAGTGAGGATTGATACACAGTTCATCCCAAGAGAGTGAGTTTCATTTATCTTAGGTCAATATTTCAAAAAAAAAAATGGGGAGATTGACAATGATGTTACATATCATATTGGAGTGGGGGGGATGAAATGAAAACTCAGATTCTATGTTTTCTACGATAATAATGTACCACCAAGATTTAATGGTATGGTTTATAGAGCGGTTGTTAGACCAACTCTGTTGTATCAGATGAAGTTTGGGCCAATCAATAGCTCGCACATTCAAAAGATGAAAGTAATGAAAATGAGGACGTTGAGATATATGTGTGAGCATATTAAAATAATATAATTAGGATTGAATATATTTGTGATTTGGTGATAGTGGCCTCCACGGTGAACAAGATGAGGGAAGAGAAGGTTGAGATGGTTCAGACATGTGAAGAAGAGTTGTACAGATGCTCAAATGAGCAAGTGTGAGAGGTTGACTATGGTTGATCTGAGGAGAGGTAGAGGTGGGCTGAAAAAGTATTGCAAAGAGATAATTAGACTAGACATGGCAGTCTTGTAGCTTACCGAGGAGACGACCCTAGATAGGAGGATATATAGGTCAAAGGTTCGAATAGAAGATTAGTAGGTAGTCGAGCATTGTCTAGTTTTTTACATGATCCATTTAATTATTACTTGTTATTTCCTTTTAGGTTATCGTATTGTTTATTGTTAATGCTATCTCTTTTTCCATTACTTTCAGCATGACTTCTTTATTATTGTATTTCCTTTTCATACATTTTTTTGTATGACTTACTTTAGCTGAGGTTTAATCGAAAACAACTTTTCTGTGAGATAGGGTAAGGTTGCTTACACATCACCTTCTCCTGGCCTGACTTATGAGACTATACTAGGTATATTATTAATGTTTTTGTACACTTGAACTTCGGAGGTTGTGGGGATGTTTTTTGAAACCCC